CTTGAGCAGGCTTGAGGCTGCCGGGAGACAGGGCAGCACCGTTCGTCGCGGCGCAACAAGCCCGTCATACAAGCCAAAACCACCAAACACAAATGATCGCAGCAAACGTTCAGTTCTGTGTCTGCCACTAGGTGACCGACATCACTTGACAACTTTGTTTGCAGTCTTCAAGATTTTGCGACATTTCCAGAGTAGTCGCGCGTGGTTCTTAACTTTATTTATGGGCGTACAACGGATTCCACGCACATGATACACCGGTCCAAGCATTAGGTAAAAGGACACGAAACGGTCGCGCCACGCTAAAACTAGTGATAGCATCCACAGCACACATGCTCGGTCTCCCAGTTGACGCGCCAGGCGGATCTCTGGTTTCCCTTCAAAAACGCACAAATCTTTCGCCTTTTACTAAAGATTTCCGTGGAGGGGAACACTCAAATGAGTATTCGCGAATTTCTTACGGCCACCGTACGGTGGCCACGTCACATGTGAGGAGGCAATGACAACGGTATTGGTAAAGCTCCAGCGAGGTTGCTCGGAGGCGACAGATGCAAGACAAGGCACGTGGGCACCACTAGGCGTCAGTTGGGGTTCACAAAATTTTCAACGGTCTGTTACTCATGCTCGAAAGAGTCCCGCAAAAAACAAATCAGCTGGAATATTCAAACCCTGAGATGGCTTAGGTGTCTAAGTTGTCTCAGGTGTGTTTGTTTAGAAATGGGACCACACTGTCTACTCTATGTGTCAGGTGAACGTGCTTTATACCGTACGCTCTTTACGGCACGAACAACGTTACAGAGCGTCTCCGCCCGTCGGACAACCTTATCTGAATCGCGTCCATCGTGATTTCCCGTGTGCTCACACGCACTCCACTCGTGCGGAGCGCTTTCGCTCTTCTCCGCGCTGACTTGCCTCACTTGAGTGTAAATAGGGTTGGAGCGCGAACGCAACCTACCCCGCTAACAAAAAATTGTACTCCCGAGTTACCCACATTTGGGGGTAATCGCAGGGGTCAACCCAACCGAAGTGCAATGGAAAGGGCCTCGCCCTGGGGGAACCGCCTTTGTGATTCACGGTATCCCCTGAGCCAGGTAAGTATGAGTTCCGCCTTCATTTCATTTCATTATTTGTTTGAGGCGTTCGGCCGGCTGTTCAGACCATTTCACGCCTGGATGACGTTATTTTAAATTGGTGTAATTATGTATGTGAAGAAAAGTGTACGTTTTATTGACATTTACAAAGCTTGAAGCAAACCGGCAAGTCTGAGAAAGTTAAAGACAATGTTAAGCAGTTCAGGATGGTCATCGCCAAGGACGTTTTTTTAAAGAAAACTCGATATTTTGGTTACGACAGAATAAGCCTGCATATCTTTGCGGTGCTGCTGATGATTTTGTGCACTCAATAACAATATGTTTGACCGAAAGTGGATGATCGCACGGCTGACAGTGAGGACGAGGTTGACTTAAGTATATGTAACTATGTGTGAGTGTAGTGTGTCCGATTCGTAAACGGGCTAGCACCTTCTCCTCCAGACGGTCTTTACGATGCGTTGATGGCCAAGGTGTAATGTCTGGTTTGATATCATGAAGTTGTGTTCTGGTAGTATCGGTCCATTGTTGTTGCCAAAATTGTTTTGTCATTGTGCGAATGGAATGCTTTGTAGATGCATGATCAGCAGGGATCTCCATGATGTGTTGGTTTGTCAAAGCTTCCTTGGCTAGTTGGTCAGCCCGTTCATTGCCCCATGATGCCTGTATGTCTGGAATCCATAGAAATTTGATATTCATATCCTGTGTATGTAATATATGATAGAGATTGACGATTTTAACAAGGAGGTGGTGTGTGAAGTCTGGGTCAATAAGAGATTGCACAGCTGTCTTTGAATCCGAACAAATCACTATTGTCTTCGTTTTGTGGGTGTGTTGTTGAATGTGTTGCAATGCAAGGAAAAGAGCAAATAATTCAGCCAAATATACTGAGGTGCCATCCGGTAACCGACAGTTTTTATGGCAATGTTCAGTGCAAATAACTGCACATCCGGTGTGGTTATTGGCCTTGGAGCCATCGGTGTAAATAAAGCTGCTATTTTGATTGTTGAAAATTAGACGATTAAATGTTTGTTGAACATAACTTGTTGTGAAAATGCGTTTGGGATCATCAAAAAGAAGCATAACTTTCCGAGGGGTTAACTGCCATGGTGGTACTATTAAAACAGGTGGCATGGAAGAAGGTGGTAAAGTAAACTGAAGAGTGGTACAGTAGATAGTGGTTCGAGATGCTATTGTAAGTCCTGAGCGACGTTCTGCCGGTCCTACGTAGTTATGGTGAATGTGAGGTAAGACATGTATGGATTTAAATGCTGGGTGACTGGGATTTTGTCGCACTTTTGTGATGTATCTCAATGTGTGTTCCATTCGTCGGAGGGCAAGAGGCATAACATGCGCGTCCACTTCAAGCGCTGAAATCGGGGAAGTACGCAGAGCTCCTTGGGCAACTCGCAAAAACATATTTTGTATGGTGGATAGTGGTTTGAGAGTGTGTTGGCTGCCTCCTGCATATACCACGGAGCCATATTCAATGATGGGAAGAACTAAGGATCTGTATAGACGTAACAACGATTGGCGGTCGGCACCGTATGTTGACCCGGAAATGCATCTAAATAAATTTAGTCTTTTTAGGCATTTGGAGCGAACATGCTCCACGTGCTGTCGCATCGATAATCTGGGGTCAAGTACGATGCCAAGAAATTTGAAAGACGAAACGAAAGGAATGTGGTGTCCATCTAGTCGAAGCCGAAAATTGGGAGTACCACGCATATTTTTGCCGAAAATCATAACTGCAGATTTGGGAGCGGAGAAGCGGAACCCGTATCGCTCTGACCACTGCTGCACCTTGTTTAGGGCGACTTGGAGCCGTGGCAGCGAATGGTCATATTCAGTGTCTGAGCACCAGATGGCGCTATCATCCGCAAAAAGTGAAGAGGAAATGCCCGATGGTAATGAGTCAAATAAATCGTTTATCATAAAATTGAAAAGAATCGGTGAGATACAGCTCCCTTGTGGAAGGCCGTTCTCTAGATGGTGAGTGTCGGAAACGGCGGATCTGCATCTCACACGAAATGGTCTGATGCCGGAAAGAAACCCAATAAGATAATGTGCCAAATGGCCTTTAAACCCTAACTGATGGAGCTTGAAAATTAGTGCAGGTTTAAAGACCATGTCGTAGGCTCGGCTAATATCCAGGAATACAGCAGTTGTGTTGTGTCGATGTTTATAGGAACGTCTGATGTCAGTTTCAAGTCTGATGACATTGTCTATTGTGCTACGATTGTGTCGGAAACCACATTGATTTTTTGTAAGCAGGCAGTCTCGTTCTACAATCCAAGAGATTCGCTTCACCACCATCCGCTCAAAAGTTTTCCTAGACAGCTGGTAAGTGCAATGGGACGATAATTTGATGGATCTTTGGTGTCTTTTCCTGGCTTTGCAAGTGGAATAATGATGGTGTCTTTCCAGGCGTCAGGAAAGACATGGGTTGACCACAAATCGTTAAAAACTGCCAATATAAAACGAAGCATATCTTCTGAAAGATTACGAAAAAAAGAATAGTGTAACTGATCATGACCAACTGAGGTGTTGCCGGCGGATTTTATAGCCTTTTGTAGTTCTAGAAATGAAAATGGTAAATTATAGTCTTCGGTGTTATCGGAAACAAAACAATCAGTATGTAAACGAAAACGGGCTTGCGCAGTTTCCACAAATCCTGGTCGGTAATTTCCGGATGAGCTACACTGAGAAAGACTTTCAGCAAGAGCATTGGTGATAAGAGGTGTTGCCGAAATGATTTGGTTATTAATGCGTAAAGTGGGCAATGAAATAGAGGTGCGTTTTCCGGAAAGTGCCCGAACCAGTCCCCATAGCTGGCTTAGGGGAGTAGCAGCAGTGAACTGCTGGATGTATGCTTGCCAAGAATGACGTTTGGCACTCCTTATAATTCGTCTGGTTCGAGCACGCTCATAATTTCGGGCAAGAAGATGAGGTACATCATGGTGGCGACGAAAGCAGCGGAAAGCACGTTTCCGACGCGCAATAGCGTTCTTAACTTCGGTCGTCCACCATGGTACTGGGATGCGGCGTGATGGCGTTTTAGTTAGTGGAATTGTCGCGGTTGCTGCAGCATGAATAATATGTGTAATAAGGCCAACACCCTGCTCTGGTGATTCATAACAGTCACGGTTCACATAACAAAGTTCTTGAAATTTGGCCCAGTCTGCTTTTCGTAAATTCCAGCGGGGTATGGATCGCAAAACTTCGTCAGCGGTTGCGTCAAAAGTGGTGTAAAGTTTAATTGGAAAATGGTCGCTGTCGTGTATATCTCCCTCAACAGTCCAATCAAAGTACGTTGCTATTGAGGGAGAGCACAGCGACAGGTCGATGGCTGTTTCTGTACTAGTGGGTAAGTGGTGATAAGTATTACTGCCTTTGTTTAACAGGACTAAGTTGTGTGTATCAATAAAATCTTCAACCAAATGTCCTCGGCGATTAACGGCTTGGGTGCCGTTACTCCAAGCTGGACTGTGAGCGTTGAGATCGCCGAGGATGAGAAAAGGGTTTTGAAATTGAGCAACGAGTTGGTCAAGTTGCCGTAAGAGCTCCGTATTATTATAATTTGGTGTAATGTATATTGAGCATATATCGATGGTACGGCCATGCAGTCGAACTGAACTTGCAACAGCCTGAAGAGGTGTGTTAAGAGTGAGTGGCGTGTGTGTTAATTTTTGGCTGATGTACAGCGCCACCCCACCTTGGCGACGCTCACCGTCCATCGTGTCATAGCGATATAACGAGTAATTTGGCATTTTAAAGTTATATGTGTCGGTGGGACGAAACCATGTTTCCTGTACGGCAATGATGATTGGAGTTAATACGGCAAAAAGTGCTTTCATTTCGGACCATTTTGAAATGAGACCGCGACAATTCCACTGTAAGATTGAAAGACATTTAGTGATGAAGGGATCCATTCCCACCGGTTGATGGGAATCGCCCGAACGAAACAGACCTAGGCCGTCCCATCGCCACCCTCACCGGTGGACGGGACCGGCGGTCTTCGTTCGGGCGTGTTTCGACAGGTGTTGTGGTGGGGGAAGGGGAGGTGATGTTTGTGTGGTGGCCAGAGGGTCCGGGCCGCCGACTGTTCATAGCCTGGGGGCTAGAACGCCGGACGGCCTGACCCGCGCGTGAATCACTCACAGCCGGCGGGCTGGAACGCCGGCCGACCTGGGGACAGGGGTGCACGGGCGCCTGGGCATCCGAACGTCCAGCCAAGGGCGACTCAACGGCATTTTTCGTCTGGGTCTGCGTAGTTGACTCAACTGAAACCGAGGGGCGAGGGTTGAAAAGTTTCAGAGGAGGCAGATGGGTGATAGGGTCGGTCTGTGTTGCACATGTGGCCATCGTGGCTTTTGCTACTTGGGCATATG